CTTCCGCTGCATTACTAAATTGATAACCGCAAAGTAAAGAAAGAGTTGAGGATTTCATTTCCCAAAGGTGAAGAGCAATAGAAAGTATAAGAATAGTTTCCCTGACTTGGTGGGTTAGAACACTATCCAAAATTAGAAACCTTGAGGTCAATCGAAGCATCCAATATTAAATTTTCAGGCTGCACGAGAAAAAGAGAGTTTAATTTCTATGGACTAACATTGTGTAACTCTTTTACATCATCATTGTCACGTATATAAGTTAAAATCCGCCAAAAAGAGGTAGGATATTAGTTAGTTTGTAGGTGTAGCTTCCTAGAATGATTTACTAAATTCAGTGAGTTGTTTCAAGGGATCAAAACAGTGAGTTATTATTGGAATTCCTTCACCACTCTTAGGTTCCGTTACTTCAGTTTGTTTTGTAACTCTTTTTCTGTTATGGTTACTCAAAGAAAATTTAGGACTAATATGTTAACCTTCCCTTTTGTTTCCATTGTTCCGGAAGCCTCAAGTTTGTTGAACTGAATTTTCATAGATTGCCAGATTCTAGACTACAATATGTGTTCTTGAATTGTAATTGATTATAAATTCTTTAAAATTACCTCACGGTTTTTGTCGATTGTTTGTACAGAGGGAGTTTCCCACAGGAGAACCCTTCTGGATTAGCCTCAATGCCTTTGTATAAGTCCTTCAAATGACTCTGTTATTGGTATTAGTATTGATATTTATTGATTTCGAGTCAATCATACGTGCGCCGTTCGTTTTTAGTTTATCTTTCATCCCCTCTTTGACCCTTCATTTTAGATTATTCATCCGTTTACTTTGATTTGCAGAAACGAACATCCCTTGCATTCACAACAACCTTCATCTGCGAGCAAAGTAATGTTCATCATCTGCTGAAGCTTCAATTCTGGACAAGGTAACAACTGGTGATTTTTCTGAAACATTCTTATTCTCATTCTTCCGCTGACATCTTTTCTTCTCTTAGTTTGTGAGTTTTCAAATGGTGCTTAGTTATAAGTTGTAGGTTGTTACGTTATATTGATGATTAATTGACTATTACCTTTCATTTTTCTACTTCCTCTAATGACTGTTCGGGCCAAGTAAACCATCAAGAGTACTGATTTGTCTCTGGTGTAAGCAATCTTGAATTTACCCAACTTCGATTGAAAATTTTAATGTGAGAGTTCGCAATTTTTGTTCTTAGTTTTTTTTTCATCTTTATAATGTAATCGTTACTATATTTATGGTTGTCTTGTAATTATGATATACTTTTACAAATTGGGGTATTGTGGTTCTTGGTTTTGCTTCTATATTGTTTTTACATGAATAAATATTTAAAAAAAGTTTTAGCCCTAAACTTTGTCATATAGGCACTAAAAACCTATTTCATAAGTTCGCTCACAATAATTATAGTAATGAGTTCGTTTAACATTTATCATTCTCAAATAAAGTTGAAGATGGATACATGAAATAGTTGATTCTACTACTAACCTTTTTTTATAATGCTTGTAGCAATTTCATGTTTAATGATACTTGACTTTCAGGATGAGTTGTTCACCTTTCAATTATTGGTCCATGATCATTAGCAATTGTTCCTCTTTACCTCTTCTTTATCAATTTATGTGTTCCTCCGTTCTGATTCTTTTATAGATATGGGTTACGTTGTCTACCTTTTCGATTGAGTTTATTGACGCTTTATCTTTTAAATCTTTTTCCTACTCATTTTTAATTTCCCATGTTAATGTGGGGTTGCCTGCTGATCTAATGAATCATATATGAGGTTGTGAAGTTATAGACATTTTTCGAGTACATGTTGAAGAACATGGTTCCAAACTTTTTTTGCTTGGCCTTTTTTCAATTTGTGTCATTCAAAATTCTGATTTATGTTAGTAGCGGTCTTCATGTAATATGTTCTGTTTGGATAGAGTCGGGGCCGCTGTCTAATATATATTCTTAGACCTTAAATTATTATATATTGTGTGTATTATGTTTAATTATAATTGTGTACTTCCTTTCCTATTGTTATTTATTCCCTCTCATTTGTTTGTTTATAGATATGTACTTTCTTTTCTCCTATTTATTCCTGTAATTGTTTTTCCAGAAGATTAAGCTTCCACCTTTGGTCGTAGCACTATGTTTTGAAAAGCTAGGTTGAAGAAAGATGCCCAACACTTCAAAAAGGTACATGACACATCGAGTGCCACACTATTGCTGTTACAGTGTTGCTACTATACCCTACTTCCATTGCTAAGACGTTTTCTCCTATTCCAACAGGAAATTTAACATGTATTTTGTCATCACACATACAAAGTTGTAACAGTAACTAAGAATACCAAGATGACAGCCACTAATAGTGCTGGCAATTTAAGTTCATTTTTTACTGACCCGTCCAAATAGCCCATCAAATATGTGTTCAAAAAGTGAATGAAAAATTACCTATGTAGACATCTTTTTCCATAATTTCCATTAATTCTTGCCATTTTAAAAAAATTTCAAAATCCCTTATTTCCTCCTAAAACTAATCAGGCGGATACATAACTCATAACTCCAAAAATCAAAATTTATCACTTCCTCATTTCATTCCATAAATCACTCTCCATTTTCTTGTCAGTTAATTTCTCAATTACTTTTGAAATTCAAAATCAAGTCTTTATCTAGTCAAAACTAATTCAACATGAAATAGGTAACTTGTTTATCTGTTCAAATTTGTTTGTCCTTCATTTTTTATTTTTTTTCTTTCTTCTTCGAAACATTGAAAATGCACCATCTTTTAGTCTTGCTTTTACATAATTAAACTCAAATAACACTCGTGTTTTTTTAATTCGAAGATATTGTTTGGGTTGTAAACAAATCAAAAAACTGCACGACTCATCAATAGCGAAAGTAAACATTGAGAAGTTGGAGATAGAGCATATAATATCAAATTTGCCATGAGACGAAAAACACTTTTATTATGTGTGAACAACAAAGGGGGGCGATAGGAGATGGACATATCAAAAGGTTCATTCATAGTCGAAGATTGATAACTTTTCTATTCAAGAAATTCTCAAAAATGGTGAGGTGTGAGTTTGTCGAAACTACAGAAAGTTCATCAATACTAAATAAAACTTGTATATCATATGGTGTTTTTTTAGAAAAAAAAACTATCAATTTTTATACTTGTTTTGTTGGTAAATCATGAATGACCCACAAACGACAAATTCATGTTTCATATTGTGATGTATCAGTATTTAAGTGCAATCTATTAGTATGTTGATTTTGTTCTATTGATTGTTGAATGTGTTTCAGTTAGCTAATCAAATAATGATCCATTAATGAAAATATAATGTGTCATATTATAATGTATCAATATTTAAG